AATCCTACTGATAATGTCCAGAAGAATATTATGATAAACTAATGAATGTAGTAGAAATATTTGTAGGTACAGATTGTATAGATCAAATGTTGAAATATTTAGGTCAATATGATAGAAAGAGATTAATATTAATTTCTCATAACGGCAGTGGATTCGACAAGTGGATCGTGCTTAAAAATACAAAAAAAACTAACGCATTGCCCTTTAAAAACACCCAGAGGAATTCTATCTTTTCCTTTATCTAATCCATACACAGATGGATTTACAGAAAAAATGGAAAAGACAGAAAGAAATAAAGGGTAATTATTTACAACATATTAATTTCACGTGTTCCTACCAACACGAATCCTCTAGTTTGGCTGCATGGGGAAATTCTTCCAATCTCCCCGCGAATTTGAGAAAGATGGCCGACGTAGATATTGCTAAATACACCCAAGACAATTGGGAGGAATTGAGAGACGAATTGGAACCATATGCAAAAAGGGATACCCTATGTCTTGGAGCTTGTTTGATAAAATACAACCAAGTCATGAAAGAAGTTGTAAACCAGAATATGTCCAATAATCTAACGGCTCCATCTTTATCTTTAAAGGGTTGGTATTATTTATATCATTACGATAAAGAAATGGTTGAAGAAGAATGGTATGAAACTACTAGAATGGTTGCGAAACATACCGAAAAAGAAAATATAGAAAAAGTTTATTCGCACCCTAATCCTTTTATAAGAAATTTTATCAGACGATCTATTAAAGGAGGAAGAGTTTCGGCAAATAGAAAATGATTTGAAACGAACAAAATGGATGAAATTTGTAACGTATTAAAGGAATATACAGAACTTGAAAGTAATAACATAATTGATTTATTCAAAGAATACAGCGCAAGCACAAAAGACAAAACGGAAGTTCATTCGAGACTTAAAAAAATAGAATGTACTAAACTAATGGCATTTGATGCTAACGGTTTATACGCTTCCGCCATGTCGGATTTAGACAGTGAATATCCGAGAGCGGAAAGTGGAAGACCGTTTCTACCAGAAGAAGAAAAAGAGTTTGTAAAACTCTTCAATAAACAAAAATTCAGACCTAGAACAGCTATTTTAACAGTGTGGTTTGAGTATCCCAAAAACATGTTCTTCCAACCGATACCAGCTAAAGATAAAATCACTT